CGATAGCAAAAACGATATACTGCATTGGCGGACCTGACTCTGGCAGATGCAGCCTCATCTAAGTTGAGCAACCCCAGAGGGAATTTGCTGGATCTCAAGGGCTTCGGCTGGTTTGCCAGACGATCGCCTTTTGGTTGAACAGTGCCACAGGGTGCACCAATGTGCAGCGCAAAAGGTTTGTGCCGAGCAAACAAATCCCAAAAGATAGTCTGCCCTTGTGCGGTCCCCACGTTGAGCTTGGCAGTAGGCGCTGCAGCATTTGCGATTGAAGCATCTATAGACAGGACCTGAAAGCCTGCCTTCCACAGCGCCCGAGACAGTTGCCCACGACCTGAGAACAACTCAAAGACCCAAGGCACAGATGTCCGTTGCACAAGTGGTGGAGCCTCCTGCAAAGCATTAGCTACACCCCTAATGGAACCAGCCGGGGGACTAAACCCTAGGGACCTAAGAAGGGCACCGTCGTCAGCTGAGAGGCGATCGAGTGCTTGCACTGCGTAGGCAACTAACACCAGCCTCCGGCCTTGCCATGCCTCGGTACAGTGAGGATACTTCCAAGCGTCAAATAAAGCTGGGCTGTGGCTCACTTCGTAGCTGGTCCCCTTCACCTGTTGGCCCTCGATAGTCTTGGTGATGGGTCCCTGCCCATCGCCCACCCAGATTTGCCCCCCCGAAAAGGAGGAGATTCCCATAACAGCATTGGGTGAATGATAATTTCGCGAGTCGACATGTATGTCCGTCTGGGCATCACAGAAAAGAATAACTGAAGAAAATTCATGATCAGGAAAACAAGAGTGCACATAAGAAGTTAGCAGACGCGTAGATTGAGGAAAGGTTACACACTCCTTCCTTAACCCCTGTATCCCCACGCCTTTGGCGTAGGCGCCACTTCCGAAACTGCATGCAGTGGCCCCGAGACCACGAGCGGGTGATTCATGCGGCAACAGATCGAAAAGTCGTTCAACATGTTCCTTCCTTGGGGAGGAACCAGATTGCAAAATGCTTGTTGCAAACTCCTCGGCTTCGTGTACGCTGGGGCCGGATACAGATTTCCCCGGAGCTCCCGACCCAAGCCCCTGACCCCGTCACTGGTGTCCCGAGGTGCACTCAGTAAAAGGGTGGCTCTTATTACAGCCAACCTTCCAGCACTGGTGGAACCCCTTGGCGCATCGGCCCTTGGTAACTTTCAGACTGCACTTGCCTCGATTGTAATCAAAGCAATTCGGACGGCCTTGGCCATCCCTCGCAGAACACCCGTTCGGGATGACGATCTGGATTTTGTCCTTGCGAGCCTTCTTAAGCTTACCACCGCCCCTCGGATCACGAAGAGTAGCATCCTCAGGTGGTGGAGGCGGTGGGTCCACCTGCACTTTCTTGGGTGGCGGCGGATGATTTGGCGGGGCACTTGCAGCTGCCAACGGCAGTAAGTACTGGATAACCTCATGCGAAACACTGAGCTCCTTGAGCACGCCGTCCAATGGACGTGTCCCTGAGGGTACACCCTGCAGCTTACCTTCCAGCCTATGGGCCGCTTGCACAAACATCTCACGGTCCGCAGAAATCAGCTGACCAATGCTAACCGCCGCATAGCCCTTCGGGGGAGCCCTTTGGGTCCTCTCGAAAATGTCATTCGTCCAGGCCTCCATGCACCCAAACGTGGCTAGATGCCCCAAGTCAAACGCTAGAGCACGTCTCTGGAATGCTTGCCGGAGGGCATACAACCCCGATGTGTCGCAAGTCAAGTCTGGGGTCTTGCCACTGATTTTTATGTTACCTTCGTTGTCCAACGAAACGGCTGGATCATTCTTGCGCAAAGCGAGCTCCTGACTTCGGCTAATCCAGCGATTCATGGGCAGGTACTTCAAAGTATTGTTTTCAATCATGCTCACGACTTCGTCTACACACGCATGGCCTGGCAGGTTGTGCGGAGTCAGCTGCAGCCCAGTCAGCCTCTTGGCCTGCTCCTCCTGTCTAACCCAACGCTCAGCCACAGGAAGTTTGCGCACTTGCACCTCGGTACTTGGCTCGACTCTAGCCTTTAGGTCAGCAATGCTGACATTCTGGCTTTCATAAACGATCCTCCGGATGACTGAAATCTGAAACGGGCTCGGCAGTGGATCCTCGAAAGTCGAGATCCATTCGTCGACGGCACTGTCAGTCAATGTCACAGGATTCGCTCCGGCCGCGAATGCCACCCTGCCGAAGGTATCAAAACCCGCCTCGGTCATCTTTCGGAGCAGCTCGGGTGCAAGCCCGAACTTAGTGCACCTCTCACGGAAGACCGCTGTTGAGTCCAGAGTGGCCGACGCCATGTTGCAAAAGTCCGCGGCTACGAGTGCAGAAGACTTACCCGATCCCCGAGACGTCACAAGTCGAGAAGTGAACTCTAGAAACAATGGATACACAACACAACAATTCACCACGACATGTCCTACCGCATGAACATGGTACTTCAAAGACTCGGAGCTGCCGCGGAAGATCAAAATCACATCTTCAGCAACTCGCCTCTGAGCACGTACCCACGCAAACCTCATGTCAAACAACTCATGAAGTCTGCATGCACATGTGAAGGGACATCTGGTCAGTCACTGAACCCTCATACGCACTCAAGAACACGAGTCAACTCAGTCGCACCCCGAACGCTCTGTTTAGCTCCACACAATGCAGAATCAAGTCAAACCTCGAGCGCACTGCTGACAGACCTCGGGTTCATCCTCGTCGTCTGCACTGAATGCTCGATAGCGTTCATTCACTTGACGACCACAAATTAAAACATTTCCCTCCCTGACTCTGTGCACGATGCCGGACAGCCTATGGATCTTAAGCTCCCGGTCGTCCTCGGCTTCGCAGGGAAGGCGGCCCCCCGACGGTGGCTTCCTCGCTCCGTCGGGCTTCTCCGCACAAGACTCAGCCGAGGCTGAGCCACCATCTGAGTCTCCGAAGGGCTCGGTGTCATTCAAACGGCGGTCTGCCGCAGATCCTGGCCCCCCACCAGAGACCACCTGCAGATCGGGAGAAATCTCCCCTGAAGCCTCACGATCATAACCATCTGCTATTGCAACCGCACGCTGGGAAGGGCTTTCGTCTGGATTGAATCTCCCACTTCTAATAGTCCTGTACATCCCCAGAACTTTACCACACAAAGTGACAAAGTACTCACGACTGTAGGTCAATGTACTCTGCCCCCTCTTGAGATGGTGTCCCAGATGACGCTGCTCCTTAGGGCTGAAGGTCACAATGGGTGACCACGTCGTCCATGTGATGAGTGTCGCCTTACAGCTGTGCGTGCCGATCGACATGTTTGCATCCGGGCTTGTCCCCGCCCTCGCTAGCAGATCCTGCAGGAAGTCCCCCGCCTCGTCGGTCGACATGGGCACGCTACCCCAGCACGAGCGACTCACCAACCAGGTTGGCACACACCCTACCTGAAAATCCAGGCCTTCGCGAGATCTCGCCGCAAGCCACTCGTCCGCCCAAGGTACGCCCAACACCTCTAGCCACTGCTGTGTAGGGAAGGAACCGGGTCTGAGCTTCCGCTGTCAGTGAAGTTTTAGAGCCGAGCGCCTGGGCAAAGAGAATTGCCCCGGGTCCCTCGCCTAAAACCTGGAGACTCTTAATCCTCTGACTGTCAGACCACCGACAGCACGCATGCACACAGAACAGGATCAACCCTAAGATTACCTTAAGCCAATCCTCAACTCCACTCATCATTAGCTTCTCGAGCCCCTGCACTTGCTCCGAACTCAAGGGATCCCTCTGCCTTAGAGGGGCTTTCTGCAGGCATAGCTCTCTAGCTACACCTCGGCTGCGGCTCGAAATCACGGAGTCCAAACTTGTGTAAAGCAATTTGCACACTCCATCGAAGAACCGAAGGGCTTCAAGAATATGATTGGCAGTGCTTGGTTTCGCACCTTCCGCTCGGAAGGCACACAAGATCGCATAAAGCTGGTCCTCAGTCATCCGCCAAGGCGATCCCTCATGCATCTCTAAGTGTTTTGCTGCCAAAGCTTGCAAAGAGAGTGCACGCTTCTGAAGAGTTGTGGATGCCTTGCCACGGAACGCATCTGACAAGCTCTGACGAATGTCGTCGTCGTCGTCTTTCAAAGCCAAAGTCTTCTGCAGCAAGCTCAGACCGAGCTGCGTCCCCTCGGGGTCCAACAGGACAAGCACCTTCAGCCTCTTAAGAGCCCCGGCCCTAAGTTCATCATCACCCAAGGGGATTTTAATTCTCTTCAAGCGCGTGGCCACCTTCCAAGAGACGGCTGAAGCATCGCTGGGAGCAGGAACCTCAGGCTCGAGTGCACGGATACACTCGCGGATTCCCACTTGTGGCACCGACTGAAACCTCAGCTTATAAGCCTCATGTACTGCAGAGGATTGCCTCTCCCAAGGGAATGCCAAACTAGTGCGCCTGCGCTTGACGACATCAAGAAAGGCTTGCTGTCTCAGTTGCACACCAAGCTGATCACTCGGCAAGGGATCCGGCACGTGTGGCTCCTCGACAGAAGACCGACTGGGCTCCAGGTCCACTCGGCAGTCTTCTGGCTCTGGCTCGGCAGCCACAGGGGAGTACCAAGCTCTTTCCCCATCATCAGAGAAAGCATGCTCTCGCTCCTCAGAAGGCACATACGATGGCGACGGAGGATCGTAAGAAGCAATAGTCAAAGAGTCCTGCGGCACTTCCCGGACCGTCTGCAGTAATGTCCATGGTGTAACGAGATCAAGATCATCACTTGCAAAGTCTTCTTGCGATCCTGGGACCGGAGGTTCAGGTGGGAAAGGAAAAGCTCCATCCTCCGATCTCGGCCTAGCCTCATTTTCCCCAGATACATTCAAGACGAGAGGTGGAGGCGGGAGTTGACCCGGCGCGGGGGAATCCAGAGGATAAGGCTCAGATTCGGTACTGGCACGGGCCCGTAGGCGCAGGTGCATTTGTTCGACGGTGAAGGCCGACATGACTACTCGCCATCTGCGGGCTCTGCCATTGGCAGAAGCACGCGTGCACAGCCTACAGCCTTGCAGTACCGGGTCTGGAACCTGCTAGATGCCCATACAAAGACTCTAGAGGCCCAAATCAAAAATTTTGTCGCAGAGCACCTGCGAACCCACATGCTGCAAGAGCAAACGTTCGCACAAGAACATGTCAAACCACATGCCCAACAATAAAGACGCTCTACGACAAAATTCTCAAACACAAACATATAAATGTTTAATCCCACCAATGGTCCAATAAAAGTTGAACGAGAGCAACAGAGTTTTTGCATGTCCCACCAAACGTGGGACTGGATGTTTTCTCAGGTAGAAAGAAAAGTCGGCAAGCCGAAGATTATCTTCTGCAAAGTCGACAGGTCACCCTTGGAAAGATACGCGGCGTCCCCTGCAAGCATCCACGGCGAAACCCCCGACCCTTGCTCAGCTGGACCCTCAGAAGACCCTTGTTCAACTGGATCCCCAGACCCTAGCGCCCCAACCCCAACGGTCGACCCCATTTTGACAACCGCTGCAGAATGCGAGCTATCTCGGGCGGCTGCGGTCGCAACTGGAAGATAACAAGCACTGCCCACTATCGAGGTTGCAGGCGGAAGAGGGCTGATGAAGGCCACCGCGGCACGTGGTCGAGGAACACCATCTTCTCCTAAAGGTCGTCCCAAGACACCCCCGGAGGAAGGCGATGGCTCGCCTTGGGGGATGTCTTTGCCCTCGCTGCTGCTCCCGCCTTGGCCATGTTCCGCCCCGCCAATCTGGTTGGCGGCGGGGACGGTGGTGCGATCGGCCTCTCCACTGGCCCTTCCAAGCCATTCAACCCCTTGCTCTCTCCGCCGACTCCTCCGAAACCCTCGCTTTCTTGCTGCTGCTCAGCGTCGTTCTTGGTGGGGTCGTGTTCGGGGCTGCCCCAGGCGGCGTCGATGTGCTGCTCCTCCTGGCGGCGTCGTCGGGGCGGGGGTCTCCAATTGGCTGCTGTGGCTGCATCCGGCGTCCTGGGGGCATCTGCCCTGTTTATGATGGAGAGACTGCTTGTCCACTCGGCGGCGGTGGCGGAGGAGGGTGCCCACGGTGCGTCGGCATCGGGCTTGCGAAGCTGGTCTTGTCCGTTGTCCGTGATCACCACCACGGCACGGCTGGTGACTTCTGCTCTCCCCGCGGCGATGGACAGGTCGACCTGTGGGAACCGTGCCTCGTACTGGTTCGGGCTGTTGTGGCGCTCCAAGGTCAAAGCGGAAGCTCTCGCCTCCGCCTCCAGCTTCTGGTCGCGCTCCGAGTGGCCCATCACCGTTTGCACCGCCGGTGTCTGGGTGCTTCGGTCCTGAGTCGTCGGCTTCGGCTTTGTCGATCGTCGTCGCCTTGGGTGGGCGGTCCACCTTCTCCCACGCGGGGGATTGCTCCTCATGGCATCTGCCCTCGGTTTCAGGTGAATTTTCTTCACCG